GCCTTTCCCTTTTAATTAGTCTTCGGCCTTGCAGGCCGCGAGCCCCTGAGACAAGATGAAGCTGTAAGAGTCGCATAGACTAACAGCACTAACATCAAGATAATAGAGTCTTTGCATTCGATTATTTGATTTAGACAATAATATTTTCTCTCAATTTTGGTTATAGCATAGTATTGTGTATAGTAAATAAATATGTTCTAGATGCTTCAAGACAAGAGTAAATAGGCTTTTGTTAAGCTAAGTCAGTGGGCTTTACCATCTTCGGGTGCATCACCACTTACCATTCTTATTCTATAAAAAAGAATGCCCGCATCCTACCATCTTACAACTGCTTCCCATCATACAACAGGTTTTTTGCCAATTTGACTTAAATTGTTGACGCTAATAGTAATCTGTAGATAAGTAAAGTATATAAAACTATTATTATATTTTTGTCAATTATCTCGAAGACTATCAGAGGAGTAAAGAGTAAAGCGATGTTTGAACGAATTTATATTTTCCTTGTTACAGGTATTTATTGGTAGAATTCCCCACGACTGTTTCGAAGACACGCTGGTTCCTTTATTCCGGCAGGCTGGCGAATTGTTCGAGTTTCGCCTTATGATTAACTTTTCGGGTTGGAATAGAGGGTACTGTATGTTTATTTCCTTAATTTTTAAAGGTTGCAATGCTATGGTGGTTTCTAAGAGAAATTTTCTTCAAGGCATTTGTTTGCACGATCGCACTGTCAATTTGTTAAAAACTAGAAAGAATCTAAACAATCCACTGCTGGAAATTGTGTATTGTGTAGTACTATAATACACATTGTGTATCTATTATAGTATTTTATGCTTGGGTCTTTCCCATGTAAGGGAGGATTTGCCTTATGCCCCAATACGATACGATAGCTAGCGGCTACGCGCTTACAGTGACTGTTGTACGAAGGTTTCAAATTGATTCCGGTCGCCGTTTTCTTATTTTATACGAGTTGCTCATACCGTCTTTATTAGCTTAATAAACAGCCGTTTTACTTAAGTTTAATGGTCTTTTCCTATAAAACTGAGTCAAGTGTTTCAATATTTTAATCAGGACATCCTGAGAGTATCCGTAAGTTGTGTCCGGCCGAAAGTATCATATTAAAAATCTTTGTAATACTAATCAAGAGGTGTTCATAAGAATGCAAATTTGTAGTGTCTTTGTATTTATGTGTGGCTGATGATGCAATTTTTAGCCGATGGTGGCTAAAACCAAAGCTTCTGTGGATCTCTACAGTTATTATAATAATTAATTGTATAATCGAACATTCCGTCGTATCTGAAAATTTCTTTCATTTTATTATGTCTTTCTCTGGCCATAAAAGTCCATTACTGCACATAGGCGGCCTCTCCCGTTGTAGAAGTGAGGATTGGCTTTACTAGTGACGCTTGCAGCACCAAAAGTCTCGCACTTTTCATTATCATCAGGTAGGCTGTGTGCCCGTTTGCCACCTTTATTCTTTAAAAAAAAAAAACATCAAAGCCATAAAGATTTTTCTGGCCGTTCCAATAGTTGTCTCTTACGACACCTACACTGTAGGTCCTACAGGACGAAATCGGTGATCGCCATTTATACTGCCACCACACGGTAAAATTTATTATGATTTCTAATTTATATTTACGCAAAATTAAAATTTAAGAGGATTGTGAAGTGCCGGCCGATACGAGGCGCGAGTAGATATTTTCAAAAATTGCTATGTTTCACATCGCTCGCTCCGTATCGCCGTCGTGCGATAGAGTTGCAAATGTTAGAACTAATTACCTACATTTTCTTTTAAATAATGTTTCCAGCGATAACGTTTTCACCCCCATAAACGTTTACGAAATGAGACAATTTTGGTGTCATTAAATTCAGTATACTTTGATTTGGATCTGTACGTTTTTCTTTTTTAATAATTCAGTTTATTTTATTTAAAAAAAAAAACGCTTTTATGTCAAAAATATAGATGTTTAGATGCTAATAACTTCTATTGCACGCAATATTTCCTTAAAATAAAAATGTACGGATCTAGTTTTTCATTATATCTAGAACATTTCCAAAAATTATGAATATTAGACTATGTTTATGGGAGAGAAATCGTTATCGCTTTTTGTATGAAAATTTACAGCTTTACAATCCTCTTATAGTGTTGATAAAATCTATATGGAACACAGGTACGCATTCGCGATGTACACCACGGATGCTGAAGCGAGTAACGCGATCAGAATGTTCAATAACTATATGATTAGACCGTCATGGCAACTGGGTAAATATCGAACTGCTTTTTATAATAAAGTGGATAATATACGTCTATGGCTGAAAGTTATAAGAGCTGATTTCTAAGAGGATTTTAGAGCAAGGAAATATCCGCATGTATTGCGTGAACTATATTATTTTTATTATTTCTCAAATATGCTGGTTTTCTCACGATGGTTTCTTTCACCGTCGAGCACGTGTAAATCAGAACTTAAAACTAATTTCTTTGGTGCCGGCAGGGATTGAACCCGAGTTGCTCGCGTACTGTGAAATTTAAAGCGAGCGCCTAGCCCCTGAGCAACCACGGCTGTAATAAATAATTAAATAAATTAAAGAAAACATTTTTGACTGAAAGAAATTTAAGTGTTCAGATATAAAATTGCTGTTTAATGGATACTGAGTTTTAATAGCAATGAATAACTTTTTAAGGTACTGTGCTTGGTGAACTGTTCTTAACAATTGCTGCTGTTTAACGACGCCCGGCCGCTATAAAATTTTCCTTCCTCATCTACAACATCTCCAGACCTTGCACCAACAGACTACCCCTTTTATGATGCTTAGATTACTTTTTATAGGCTAAAATTCATCCGAAGAATCCATTCCGAAGAAGCAGTAAAGAACGCCGTACAGATGAGTTCGATCGATTCTCGTGCAGACTTATAGCAAAGAATTAACGAACTTCTCATAAAGTCTTTTTTTTAATAGAGCAAGGGTTAACAAACGATCGTAGTGCACCTGATGGTAAGTAGGTGCTGTGGCCTATAGACTACTTCATCTTACCTCGATTAAGAATCAAAATTATGAATAATGTATTCATAATTTTGATTCTTCAGTTATCACCTCCTGAAGACTAAGATAGAAAGCCTCGTTACCGTTAATTTTACTTTCCCGTTCAAATCGGCAACTTCAAAGGTAAAGTCCTGATATATCATATAAATTGATTAGAAATTGATTTTTTTATTAGATGTGTGCTTTATTACAAAGTTAGCAGGATCACGCATTTTAAGCTGTTTCTTGACAACTTCAAAAATTTGTACACCTCTATTTTGGGTGCCTTTAGCTGAAGTTAATCAAACTTGATAATCGTTGATCGTACAGATCAACGGGTTATAATGTTCCAACTTCCAATAGATTGCGTTGCCGATCGACAGCCGGAAAGCAAACAATTGAAAATTTTAAAAAAGTTACAATAATATTTTCTCTCAATTTTGGTTATAGCATAGTATTGTGTATAGTAAATAAATATGTTCTAGATAGGAACGATCTAATCAACGGTACCCAGAAAATTGCAACTGAAAAAACAGTATTAGCCTTTTAAGTTCTGTCCTTTACATATTTACATACCGACAATTTCGAATTTGGAACAGTTCAATATTCAAATTTGTTTAAAGTTAGAATCTCAAAACAATTTAAAGTATGAGGATAAATGCTATAAATTGTTTAGTCACAAGAGTCGTTTTGAATCTGTCAGGTCACGTATAGAATCTTCTAATCTAAGGAAAATATCCGTGCAATAAATTTCTACATCTTTCGAAGAGGTCTAACACGGCTTCGGTCTTTGAAAGACTGAAGCCGTGTTTTTTAGAATTCCAGTGTAGACATACCAATCTTAATGACAAATCTCGTGAAGGACGTCCAAAATCCGTCTTCACTGAAGATAACATCGTTGCTTTGAGAAAACTAATTCTCGAAGATCGTCATGTATATCGAGAGTCAGAGTTGTTATGTGTTATTAGGCATCACAGGGAAAACCATTTAGAAGATCCTCCATGAAGCGCTTTGTGTGAGAAAGCTAATTTGCCGTTGGATCCCGCATTTGCTTTCCGATGATCATAAGGCGACTCGCGTGATATGGTATAACAAAACTCTTCAAAGGTTCCACCGAGGAGGATCAAATAACATCTACGATATCAGCATTGGTGACGAATCTTGGATCTATGCCTACGATTACGATTCTAAACAATGTACAATCATCTTTCAGTCGGTTAAGCGGAATAAAGTTGTTGGCTCTCGAAGCACTTCAAAGTAAATAGTGGCCACGCTCATTGCGAAAACAGACCATGTTGCCACGATTGCACTTGAAAATGGTTAATGCAGAGTGGTGGTATACCACAGTTTGTTTACCACAATTCATTGCCGAACTTCGGAAATCTAACCCACAGCGACGCATCAGCCTACACCATGACAACGCAAGCTCACATAGCGATGGTCAAACGATTGAGTATTTGAAACTGAAAAACGTAGAAATTCTTGACCATCCTCCATATTCCTGACCTAAGCCCTAACGATTTCTTTACATTTCTTAAAATTAAGAAAAATCTTCGTGGTCCAGTCCGGTGAAGAAGCAGTCGACGCTTTCAAAACAGCCATATTAAACATCTCCATTTCCGAGTGGAATAAATGTTTTAATAACTGGTTCGAGCGAATGAAAATACGTAGTGAATACTTTGAAAAGCAATAAAAAGTACTATAAGGTTTTGTATTTTTTGGTCAAACGACAAAACTTAAAAGGCATGTCCAGTATTATAACTTTCTACATTATTATTATTAATAACGTTACTAAGCTTCTTATTGGTGCTCAATGATATTAGCATGCAGACTTCGGAATAATTATTGAGTGCAATAGTTACTAGTTTCACTTGTTATGTGCGTAGCGTTCTCTCTTTTTGGTGTGAGATATCGCGATAGATTTTGTTTTTACATTGATATCAATTTCAACCTAATAAAATGAAAGTCGATATATTGAAATAATGCAACGATTTCGCCATTGCACAGGCGTGTGCCCGTCGATAAATAACTGCCGCATATTCATCTCGCGCATCCCGGCGACGACCGCGTCCGCGGAAATCGTGCGGCTGCTGTACGCGCTGACGGATGAGGTGCAGGAGGTGCGCATCCGGCGCTCGGCTGCGTCGTGCGCCGCCATCGTGGAGTACAAGTCGCACCGCGGCGCCGCCATGGCGCGCAAGGCGTTGGTGGCGGCGGCCGCGGCGGCCTGGGGCGGCGGCGCGCGCCCCGCCGTCGACTGGTCGCTGCCGCAGTCGCCGCAGCTGCTGCGCCAGTACCGCGAGGTGACCGTCCTGCCTCGTTTCCCTCCCGCAGCCCCAATGACGCATTCCGTCTGCTCGCTGCCATGTATGTTGCGCCACGCCAGTACCGCGAGTCGACTGTCCCTGCCTCTGTTCTTATTTATTAGCCAGTGCCGACCACAGTCTCACCTGGTGGCATGCTGTGATAAAGTACTAGATGGTGAACCGCTCTGTCTTAGCCTAATAAAAACCTGCTGACTCAATTTTTTTATTTCACATTGGGCTCCTGATGAAGCGATGCCATTTATTGGCAAAAAATTAAATATATCAATTTCTAAAAATGTTATTCTTTCACTGTTATCATTGCAACAAAGCTCACTCAAGAGTTGGTGAAGAGTTGTCATGCCCAGCACACGAGGAAGTAGATACGAAGATAGTATACCATGCATTTAACAACAACTATCATGCAAAGACATAATAAAAAAACCAAAGTGGTTGTCTAAAGGAATAAAATTATGCAGTCGAAAGAAAAGAAAACTTCTGTGGCAGCTAAGATTAAATCCTAACAGTAAGATCAAAATTTTATTTTCAAATTATTCGCAGTTATATAAAAAAAATATTAGATTGACACAAAAGGCACAAAATAACCAAAAAATAAAAGCATCTAAAAATAAGTCTAAAACAACTTGGCAAATTATTAAACGAACAAAATACAACTTACCTACACGCAGTATTAATAAAATTAAGGTAAATGATCAAACTCTATCAAATCCTCAGTGCATCGCTGAAGCATTTAACAACTATTTTATCGATATTATTCAGGCAGACATAGATGTCACTAACAAATATAAATCTTATAAAATAAACACCAACAGTAAATCTCTGTTCATGCCGCCTAGTGTTCCATTAGATATTCACAAAATAATAATGTCGTTAAATAATACAAGTAGCGTCGGATACGATGGCATTGCTACAAAAATATTAAAACACATATCAATGGAAATATGCGGACATCTAAGTCATCTAATCAACCTAAGTATTAGCGCAGGTATTTACCCAGATGCCTTAAAAATATCAATTATAAAACCGCTGTTTAAGAAGGAGAATAGAGAACTAATGGAATATTATCGGCCCATCTCACTTATTCCCGTAATTTCAAAAATATTTGAGAAATATATATATATATATAAGGAAATATATAAATTTATTGAAAAATATAACATTTTATGTGAGGAACAAAAAAGGATTTAGACCACATAGGACAATCAATATGGCCATATATGACTTTATTTACAATATTATTAACAATATCGACTGTGGCATATTTTGCGACATGACAAAGGCATTTGATAATGTAAATTACGCTACTCTTTTAGAAAAACTTGAAGCCTATGGCATTAGAGGCAATGTTCTTAATCTAATTGAATCTTACTTAAAGAATAGAATACAAATTACTGAAATTAATCAAATTAATATAGCAAATAAGAAGGAAGAGATATTTCGATCGTCAAAGCGCGAAGTTAAATTTGGAATACCACAGGGGGAGTGTGCTGGGTCCTTTTATATTTATATTGTACATCAATGACTTACCTAAATGCATTGAGCAACCAGTAACACTATTTGCGGATGATACCACAGTGACAATACCATGTAAAAGTGTAGAGACCTATGAAAATGACATTAATAACTCCTTAAAATTAGTTGTAAACTGGTTGGACGAAAACAATTTAAAAATAAACTTAAATAAAACAAAAATTATCCATTTCAGTCAACGGATTCCTAGCATGAGCCTAAATGTACACTACAATAATGATGTTGTAAAAGAAGTTGAAACTGCAAAGTTCCTGGGTCTCGAAATAGATAAACATCTTAACTGGAAAGCACACATTAATACTTTATGTAAAAAAATTTGTAAAACCGCATATGCTTTACATAATTTGCCTTTAATAGTATACATGAATGCACTCCTCACTGCTTACTACGGCATAGCGGAATTCCACCTCTGATATGGAATAATATTTTGGGGTAAATCAACAGAAACAGAATCAGCCGTTAATGCTCAAAAAAGATGCATAAGGGCGATGTTTAAGCTCAAAACTACCGATAGTTGCATGCCATATTTTAAACAGTATAAAATACTGACATTGCCTTGTTTATACATACTAGAAGTAGCAGTGTTTGTTAAATTGCATCCGAAACGTTTTAAACGCCTTGACCAAGTAGTTCCACGTAATAGACGCGACAATACCCTTTTATGTCATCAATCCCCTAAGACAGCACTAATGCGCAAAAGTATATACTGCATGGCTCCAGTCATATATGATAAAATACCAAAAAGTTGGAAAGAATTGCCGCTATCGATATTTAAAAAAAGGCTTCGTAGCTTCTTGACAGTCAAAGCATACTATAGCGTAACAGAATATTTGACTGAAAAAAAATTTTCATTTTGAGATTAAGAAGACTGTATAATGTTAAAAAAATTTAAATTATGTTTGTTTTTGTGCTATTATTTTATGTTGTTATAGCTGTTTAGGTGATTAGTTTATATTTCTGTATATTTTGCATGCCTACTGGTAAAATATGGCTGAACTCACTACCTATATTTCCATGTACTGTACCCATATTTGCAAAGTAAAATATCTTTATCTTTATCAAAAATAAGAAGTGCTGATACCGATATTGTGGCTATAATGCTTGGTAACATGCATCAACTTAAAAGTGGTTCGGTTGTTCGGTTGCTTACGGGTACTGGCAATTTAAGATTGTGGACCTAACCAAAATACATGCAGAGTTGGGGGATAGTTAATTGGTCAGAACTTACCTGGATTTCATGCCATCGCAGGTAGTGGTTTTAATCCTGCGTTCTTCAGAAAAAGAAAGTTAAAACCATACAAGACACTAAAAAGTTATCCAGAGTACCAGGAAGCTTTAAAGAACGTCGGTAACAGCGAAATAATTGAAACGCTCAGATTGTAATCGGAACGAAAATAACATTATGAAAGATGAAGCAAAACGTTGGATTCAAATGCGTGGGATATCAACCACAAAGAGGTAAGGACATGCTGACCGCCTGGCTGTTGACCGCCGGCCGTCAACCCTGACGCACTGCATGTCTGCTCGCCACCGCAGTTATTACAACAGTTGCGTCAGTACTACGAGGTGGCTGCCACCGTCCGTCTTACTTCCTCCGCAGGCACAACGCACTACACGTCAGCTCGCCACTGCAGTTGCTGCGCCAGTACTTATACCGTTAGATTACTGCCTCTCTTTGCTGCACGATCTCATTCAGATCCACTGACGCGCTCGCTGGCGCAATTGCTGTACTAGTACTGGGCTATCTGTCTGCTAACCTTGGGAAGTAAGAAAAATTTTAGTAGGTAAAACTGAATAATAAATAAATTTTATAATAATAAAAACAGTTCTAACATAACATCGTACATTCTCAAATAGTTGAAAATAATAGGAGCTACAAAAAAAATGATAAGCGTAAATTCTGTATTAGATTGGTCGCTGGAGTCCCGAGCGTGGCGTGGAGCTGACGCGTGCTCCGGATGACGGCGCGGGCTCGCCGCCGCCCGCCGCACCGTCCTGCACGCTGGAGCCCTGGTCGCAGGCGCGGCGCCTGCGCATGATCCAAGAGGCGCAGCGCAGCGCTGCCGCGCACAGCGAGTGAGTAGCGCCCGCGAGCACGCACTGACTGCCTGCTGCACGCTGGAGCCCTGGTCGCAGGCGCGGCGCCTGCGCATGATCCAAGAGGCGCAGCGCAGCGCCGCCGCGCACAGCGAGTGAGTAGCGCCCGCCAGCACGCACTGACTGCCTGCTGCACGCTAGAGGCCTGGTCGTAGGCGCGGCGCCTGCGCATGATCCAAGAGGCACAGCGCAGCGCCGCCGCGCACAGCGAGTGAGTAGCGCCCGCGGGCACGTACTGACTGCCTGCTGCACGCTGGAGCCCTGGTCTCAGGCGCGGCGCCTGCGCATGACCCACGAGACACAGCGCAGCGCCGCCGCGCACAGCGAGTGAGTAGTGCCTGCTGCACGCTGGAGCCTTGGTCTCAGGCGCGGCGCCTGCGCATGACCCTCGAGACACAGCGCAGCGCCGCCGCGCACAGCGAGTGAGTAGGCCTTTGTTTAGAAATGGTATTTTGATAGGATGTATATGATGATGAATGAATAAATATGTAAGTATCGCTATCTGTAACAGGTGGTCCAACCGCATGTCGAACGGCATGGAGTCGTTGATGACGTCGATGTCGTCGCTGAACCTGAGCGGCGGGCTGGGCTGGGAGCGCGGCGAGCGCGCGGTGTGGTCGCCGGGCCGCGCGCCGGCCGAGCTGAGCGCGGCTCGCGCGTGCCTCGCGCCGGCCGCGGCGCAGTGCCCGCCCCACTCCCCGCGCTCGCCGCCGCGCGACTTCAATCCGTGGACCGCACGCCACCCGCTGTACGAGTTCATCACTCACAACAAGCATGAGTGAGTCGCTCCTGCATTGCTTGCCTAACTGTGCAGTCTTCCTAAATTTCTGGAATGGGGGAAATATTTCGACAATTAAATATTACTACTTCAACTTTTACTTTATCTGAGACTACAACTCACCTTTAAAACTGTCCTATGGAGTATTTAAGGGAAAAATGATAAAGACAGAATTGCCTGATGAAAAATATGCTATGAAATTTTCTACCAGTTTTGTTAAAAATAAAAAGTTTTTCATGAAAAAGTCCTGCACAGTTAGCCAGCCAATTACTGTTTAATTAATCGTTTTATTTTTGTTAATGTTGATTAATTTATTGCATGAATTAAGAATTACATGTTTATTGTTTGCATGATTGTGATTTTGGTGAAGCTCGAGATTTATGGATGGATAGTTTTGCCAAGCTACCCCGTCTTACGAATCAAATAATAATCAAATAAACATATTCATCAATTAATGTTAACCCTAAAAGCAGTTTAACTAAAATATTTTGGCAAGACTATCTCGGCTATCTTTGTAAATACATGCCTACAGCAGCGCGGTACGTAAACATGCAATAGGGCTGCCTGCCTTCAGCATTACATTTGCCTACTTTGTGTTTCCATCTAGTTTTATGATTGTAAATATACTTTTTTTACATAATCAAATATAATAAGTACTTTGAAAATTCAATAGGAAGTGTTCAATAAAAATGCGTATCGTTTATTGATTGGTAGATTTAATTAAAAAACCATGTTTATGTTTGAATAACAAATCGGTCTTTTGAATTTGCGACCGAAAAATATTTGCGCCTCGGCTAACGTACGAATTACTTTATTATTAAATTTTTAAGTATAAAAAATCCGCATTATAATACAAAGCTTAATTAAAAATTATTTTGGGAAACATGGACAAGGTGGAGAAAAGTAATATCTTTTACTTTGATAAAGAGGTATCTATAACCAAGTAAAAGATATTTTATAATTTATATGTTTGGTTTTAAATGAAGTTCGCATTTATTATTTCCTTATTTCTATTCTATTATTTATTTCCTCCATTTTTTATATATATTCCACAAAATCATCACTGCGGCACTCACGACTGTCTGCATGCCGAGCGCATGCCGAGATCGAGGCGCGTAGGCATAGCTCTCGCTTCGTCCGTTTGTATGAAGTTGGAATACTGTATAGATAAAATTACCGTGCCTAAAAGCAGTTTAACTAAAATATTTTGGCAAGACTATCCTCGGTTTTTTTTGTGGACAATACATGCTTCTGTATTGTTTTTTTAATTGCTGACATGGTTAACAGTTTAAAAATAACTGCTACATAACATAGGTGTTGGAACATAACAGTTTTATCGTTTTTAATGTTAAATATTATTAATTCTTATGACATTATTTCAAATTCTCTAATCTCTAATCTTGCTAAATCTCCCATATTTATGTGCCTTTTGCATTCTGTAAAACATAAGAGAGGTAAAATAGAATTTTAATTTTAGATTTTTTTTAATTTAAACTAAATATATATTTAAGCATGTGTCTTCAATATTATTTTATTTTAGAATATGAATTAAGGGCAAACGCGGAAGAGAATAGTCTCCCGTCTTATAGGATTACCGCATAACTGGCGATATCTACATTTTTTGAAGTTTTTTCAACGGAAATATTCATGTTATTGTAGTTTACTATTTCTGTGTATGGAATAAGTCTATTTTAAAATCAGGTTTTAAGTACGTAAATCAATTTGGAACTGTTTTCTCAGCAATGAATAGAGCAGCATTATGAAATTATCTACGATTTTATCAAAATCTTAAACATTTTGTAACTCGGTAATATGAATTTATCTCTCAGTGTTTTAAGAGTTTTAAAGATAATATAATATTGCATGTCAGTATTAATTAATAAATTTAAGTATAATGTTTTAATGTGTGCTTTAGTGTTTTATTTCTTGTTCTTGTCCTTTTGTTGCTTGCTTACAATGGTACTTGTAGTATTGTGAAGTTTTGTTTCAATGTCACATGGGCGATGCGCGTAAAAATGGTGGCCGGTTTCAAACGTAATACGGCGTTTGTGACGTGAAGCCGTGTTCGTTCGTTTAGTTTAACATGTTTATATTTTAACACACGAGCTTTGCGTAACGCTGAAACTTGAAGTGCAAATTGTGTTGTGTAACCGTGGGCACCATCTACTACGATGGCGGTATGCGACAAGTGGGTCGCGCTCAAGATAGTGGAATTCGTAAGTATAGGGAATTAGAATGTTGTGACAGTGGTATTTGAATACATTATGAAAACTCATTACTTTTAACACAAGTTTTGAGTTGAACATATAACGTATACTATTTCATATTGTAGTATGAGTTAATATATACTTTATACTACAGTTATAGTAGGACTTTCGGATGCGTCAGGTGTTATAACAATAAAATAAAAATAAGTAATCACCGGCTTCTAAAATAAAACAATTTCTGCACTATCCTGAAGTTTGCTGCTAAGAGTGTATCGAAGAATTAAGTCACCGACTTCAGGAGCTGCATATTAGGTGGAAATTGATTTACTTTTGATTTGATTGTTTTTATTTTACTTTGAAATCCCGCAGATCTTAATCACTACTCTAACAAAACTAGAATGTTGTCTAAAAAGTTACAATAAAAACTATCTCACCAACTCAAAAATTACAACCCTAAGGCCGAGTTTTTTCTTCAAACTTAAATAGACTAACCTTTGAGGTATTTTAACATATTTAATTTAAAACTTAAGTAAAATAACTTCAATCTAAATAAATAATGTAAAATACAACTTTTTTTTCTAACCAAAACAATAAGTTTTTACCTAGGTACACCTACCTACCTTAGTTGTTTGCGGTACTGCGGACTTTTCGTTCGTTCTTTTTCAGTTTACATTTATCGTCTCTTATCACACAACTAGGGTACAACTTTTTGTCTTTTCCGAATGAAATGTTTTATTCATCTCACATTACCTCTTACCATCAGTAGTTTGGCATTCTGTTATTTATATTTTTTGTAGAACAATAGAAGTTTTAAAAATACAACCCTCATTTCTGCATCCCTCCATTTGGGTTTTCTTTTTTTTTTTTTTAATTTCTGTAAAAATAAAATTTGTACAGTTAACCGTAATTTTGCTATTATGTCTGTTTTTTTTTTTGTGTATATTAAATAATAATTAGTACAACAATAATAGTACAGTCCACCTAATGGTAAGCGGATGCTGTGGCAAATAGACATTCACATTTATCCTCAATTAAGAATCAAAATGCAAATTCGTTGTCACCCCTGAGGGCTACGATGGAATGCCTCGATTCCTGTAACAAGGATCTCCGGTTCTCTACACTCACCGTACGAAACACAGCAGCATTACGCTGCTATTTTACGTTGGTATTCTGTGAGAGCGTGGTCCTGCCCCGGTCGAGCCGACCCATTATTGCTACATATATAATATAGCTGCAGCGTGGCTCTACTACGTAAGCGAAACCATCAACAGTTCTTATCGGGAGGTGTTTATCTTTTGCGGGCGACGACACCTGAGTACGTACTTTTTCTCTTCTACCCGTAGACTCGATTAGCATACACATGTGTACCAAACATAAACATCGTACGCTCGCTCGATCAAGATACACATGTGTACCACAAGTACTACCCTTTGAAAAATAATTTTTTTCATTAAAACAAAACCAAAGACACTATGCAATAGATAATAGTATCAAAGACAAAGATATGCTCTTTTATTTTAAACCATAACCTGGCAATGTTTCTTAGAAAAAAAAAAAGAAATCACTCTGAACTTCCGGCGTTCCACGTGTCACATTGTTGAAGGGGCTCCATCTTTTTTATAGAATTTTATATTTGTGTCTGGACTAAAAACGAAAGTATTATACTTTTTTATATTCCTTGTAATATAGTAAACACGTAGATATGTAATTTGTGGTATAAAAAGTGAAAAGTAAATTGCCAAAAGTACTTCAAATTCCGGAAAGCCCGTTTTGGCAGGTGAGTTATAAATGTGTTATTTTTCAAATTCTCATTTATTTTTAGTGTAAAATGTAAGTAAAAATAGTTTTCGTATATATTTCAAATAACATGACGTTGTATTTATTTCAAATTCACACAAACATATTTTAGAAATATTGTTCGAAATGTCATACAGATAAAATATTTTTTTTTTTTTTAATTTTTATAATATTTTAATATTTTGGTATGAGTAACGAATGGAAACACATAAAACATAAAAATATACATGTTTCCAAACATTTTCATATAAATTTCTCCAAAAACAAAAGTGTAGAATTCAAATTAGTAGTAATTTTGGCACTAAAAGTGAAGTATATACTACTACTTATGCTATAAAGGGTAATTTATGAATTTTATTATAATTTCTAACAACCAAAATAATTTTATTCAATAGTTTATACATTCAACAAGAATTCCTGTAAGTTTTATCCATAAATATTGTCTCAAAGTGAAAATATAGCAAAATTTGCAATATACCAAAAAATTTGCTAATTTGCAAATTTTCCCGCCAAAAAAGGTCGCGAGCGAACGGGAGTGTCATATTACGCGTGACCTCGCGAGCTAACAGGTTAAATGATAGTTAAGCATTCCTAAGTGTTCGTGCCGTTTAAACGTATTTGGGCTTTGATTTATTTTCTTTATTAACATAACTCTGCATCTCGTTGAGCAATTATTACGTTGAGTTAAACTGAAAACGAACTTGCGTATCGTTTTTTAACCGACTTCAAAAAAGAGGAGGTACACAACTCGACTGTATGTAGTTTGTATGTTACTTCGGAACTTTTTTCTAGGTGAACCGATTTTGATGATTCTTTCTTATTTGAAAGCTGGTGCTTGTCATGCGGTCCCATATAGATTTGATCAAGATCTGATCAGTAGTTTTTGAGTGATTCTTAATAATACGTATTTAATTGACTTCGTATGCATTGATGATGTTTTTATTTTATTTATATTGAAGTCGGTTGTGCAAAATTTTT